TTGTTTCCAACATAATTTAATATCTAATTATGAATTTTGGTGGAGATTAAATCAATAATTAATAGATAACTTGCAAATCAAGAAACAAGGGTAAGTGAAAAAAACCCTAATTTTGATCAAACTTTAAATGGTTATAACGTCCTAACCACACATCCAAATGGAGTGGTTCAAAGCTTGTTGGAAAAGGAGCCTTACAAAAGTGTCCTACTGAACCATGAGTAAAAAATGAATGGATTTGGAGTTATGAGTTCATCAATTTGTGAAGGATTTTAAACACTTAGAAATTTCAAGGTTTCTTGACTTGTAAGTCAAGAATTCAGCATTTTCACAAGGGATTTTAAACTAGTTTCAAGTGGAATGGGTTCCTAACTCAAACATCAATGTTTTAGTACCTAATGAGGGCTTTCTATAAAGTACAAGCGGGTTCCATAACTCCTCATGGTTAGGGAGAACCAAAGCTCACAAGTTGGCTAAAACTCATTGTTGTAAAACCAGTTCAGCATGGATGTCTTGATTCCAAAGCTTCCCAAATTAATTCTAATAAAGTTTTAAGCCTCATTTCTGATCTTCAAATTTATAATAGAAGTGTTTAGAATTAACTCCCACGATTTTGGCACAAGAATTGAAAGAAATCATATTTTAACGCAAGTTGCAAAAGGTGAATATTGAAGAAAGTGAAAAATGGCGGTTGCCCTTCATCAAACCACCAACTATGCTGCAGCCTGCCACCTCCTATCCTCTCAAGAATGATACCTATAAGTTATGGAGGAGCTCTCTTTAGGATGACTTGAGGTCAGAAATGTAAATTTGCATTGGTTCCTCCAAAGATTTCCAAAGTTACAAGGTCAAAATTGGCATTTTACAACATTCTGCCCATGCCTTTCCCTCAAGAACTTTAGCTATAAATAGAAAATCATTCTCACATTCAAACAACACCAGTTCCTTGCTAGAAACCAAATATAACCCTCTCCCTCACTCAATCACTAAGTTTTTGCAAGTTTTCACAAAGTTTCCAAACCTCCCAAAATCTGCCTTGCATTTTCACTTTGAAAACTATTTCCAAACACTTCCCAACTTAAACAGCACTTCAAACACATCACAAATGTTAGAGTTTTCCAAGACCTCACTTTAACCAGAAAACCATCCAAGTCAATAGTAAACTTTCAAAACCTCATTTATTGACTTTTCTGCATTTTGAAGGGCAACCATCAAACAACTGCACTTTCTTGAGTTCCAAGACCACTCACATCTGACATATAACCTATAAAACCCATCCATAAGTGATTCACACTTCTGTAACAAGATTTGAGCAATTTGGCTTTGGAAATCTTTGGTTTTTTTGGTGCCTTCTTCACTATCAAGGCATTTTAGCCACTAGTTTGCTTGGAGACTACTTTGAGCGCATTCTCATCATCATTGGAGCATTTGCAGACCATTGAGGAGCTTGAAGGATCTCTGAATTTCTTGTTTCTCAAGCTTGCATCATAAGGCTACAAGAGGTAAGCCTAAAACTTGCATTTATCATGCCACTTTTAGTACTAGCCGTGATTTTGAGTTGAACATTGCTTAAACATGTTTTATGTATGTTATGTGTCATGTATGAACCATTTATTGCAGCAAAATATTTTTTGGGGGGACTGTCAAATTTCAGGTCACAAACTAGGTCCAACCTAGTCACATTTTGCATTTTGATTCCAATCTGCCAAACCACTTGTGCATTTCTTGATTTCTCTTGTGCCAACCTCTATATATGATGTATATGTGATATTTGTACACTTGTTTCACAAAGCACACCGCTACACAATGTTGTTCACATGTTCTTGCATTTGGCTGTAACCAAACTTGCCCTACCATTGATGCTATCGGGTTTTCTTGTGGGTTTATGGTATGGAAAAACAAATTGTATCATTGAATTCCTTGTTCAAAAACATACAATTTTCACTTTTGTTTCACCTCATTTGGCTAATTTTTGACTGAGTTCCAATTCTTCATGCAAATGACCTTAAGTTGCCTTACCTTGACTCGACCTAGTTTTGCCCTCTTGGTGCACCAACTTCCCATGATCATAACTTGCTAATTTTTTATGCTATTGATGCCATTATTTTTGCAAACTACTCCTTAACATGTCTGTTTTTATTGGGTGAAGAAATAACTCAAGTATTGTTATCCTAGAAATACTTTGGTCCACTTGAATAACATGTGGTTTTTAGGGTTTTTCCATGGTGTTCTTGAATTTTCTCAACATGTAACTTGATTTTTCTTGTGATATTTGTCTTGTATGATTCATATATGTTTTTTTAACATGTTTAAATGTTCAAAGTTGTTTGATTCATTGCCTTGCTATGTTCATGCCTGCTTTTGTGAATGCATACATGTGAAAATGACCTGTTAAACTTCATGTGTGACCTATACCATAATTCTTAATGTCGTAACCTCTTGAATATGTTTTTCATGCCTCATTATACTTGCTTATGTGTCTTGTTAGAACCATAACATGCTAGGTTTTGATTTTTGGCCTGGTTGTTACCATAAAACTTGCTTACTTTTCCCCATGAAGTCATGAACAAATACTTGAATTGTTGTAACATTTCTTGTGTTTTTGCTTGTTTGGTTGTTATCAATACATGTTTAGTTGGTCTTGTGTTGTTACATTTGATCTCATTTGATCCTTATAACATGCTTGCTTCAAGTTGTAACTTGTTTGCATCAATCTCTTTTGAATGTTATAGATGAACTTGTTGTTGTTACACATGTTCTTTACTTGCATTGATGGTTGTTACCTATATGTCTTTATGTTGATCTTGATTATTGTTCATGTGTTGTTACATGTTCTTCCTTTTTTAAATTTGTTAAGCCTTCCCCAAGTGATGTAGCTTGTTAGCTCTCATCCAGTTGCCTTGTTATCCCTCACTCCAAAGGAAAGTTTCTCCATTGACACCCAAGGTCCTAGACAACTCTTTACCCTCCCTTTGACTTTGTTAAGTCATCTTGAACCCTAACTTAGTTAAGTTAGAACCTACTAGCCATTAGAATTTGATTAAGTCTAAAAGACACACCTTTACTAGGAGTGTTCTTCAATTAGAACCCTATGTTAGAGTTTGTCAACTCTATGTAAGGATCATCGTTATGATTACTTACTCCCTTCTGGCTTTTGTTAAAGTCAATCTTGAGTGTACAACTTAGAATAAAGAGTTTTGTTAAACTCTATACAAGCATGGTTATGTTTGTTCCCCTTTGAACCTTGATCATAATCAAGTGTTCATCCACCCTCAGTGAGGAGAACTACGATTGCTCTAATTCTATCCTAGTTAGGATACGCAGGCAGAAGATGTCATATCTTTGCAAGCAAACTTAGAAACATCAATCCTAAGTCTTTATCTCAAGACCCCAACCTTGACCCCAAACCATAACAAGCAACTTATCATACAAACATGCAAAAGGTTCCTGTAGAGTACTACAAATGTTTAGGATGTGAAATACCTATCCTAAGCATAACCAACCTCCGATCCCCGATCTCTTAGCATTGTTGTTACATCGCACAAAAGGTCTTTGTTTCTTTAACCGTTCCTTTGGATAAATCAATGTCCGATTGTGAATTTAATGCATTAAGATTCAAGTTAATCAATAGCTTGACATCACGATTCTCACTGCAACACTCTGTCATAAGAAATATGGTGTAATTAAGGAGTTTAGCTTATGGGAGAATGATGTGTGAAGGTGGATTCTAGACATAAACATTGAGGAGGAGGTCAAAGCATTTCAAAACGATATGGCTGAGTTGGAGATGTTAATCTCAAGTAGTGTGCTTTCAAAGAACCAGTCTGATACCGTTATTTGGCCATTTTGCAAATCCAAATTTTTTCTGTGAAATCATATTATGACAGGATGCAGAGGCAGGAGATGGAAAACCAAATAGAAAGTGATGAATTATGGAAAGCTCAAATTCTGACGAAAAAAAAGTTGTTCACTTGGAGATTAATCCTTGATAGATTACCGACAAGGAAAAACTTGTTGTGTAGAGGAATATCTCTCAATGTCCATGAACTTGTATGTCCGTTATGCTTTGAGTATGAAGAAGATGAGCAACACCTATTTTTTACATGCTGCTCTGGAAGAAAGTAGGGATGACAAACAAACTCGAACCCGTCCCGAAATTAACGGAGAAAACCCAATTTAATTGGGTGAGGGAGCGGGTGGGGGGAAACCCGGTTCTTAACTACGGATGCGGGAAGACACTAAGACTCGCCCGCACCGCCCCCACCCTGCTCCCGAATAATACATTTCAGTTTAATTCTCTTATTTTACTTATTTTAATATTCATTTATTAATTATATTTTTAATTAAATTATTAATACCTTATTGCAATTAAAATAATTAAATTAATCAAATTAATTTTATTTCTTAATTAAACTTTTAATTAAATAAATAATTAAATTTTTAATTAAATTTTTAATTAAATTATTAAATTTTATTAATTAAATTTTTTTTTCAGAGAGACGGGATGGGTCTATTGGGGTGGGTCTGGGCGAATAATTTTTTTTTTATATTTTTTTTAGCTTTGCTGTTGTGTATAAGGTTTGGGATACCCTTTGTATCCCTAGTTGAATCAATTATCTTAACTTATTAAAAAAAAATTAACTTATAAATAAATAATACTAAGAGTCGATATATTGTCTTTTAATTTGATAAACGGATAGTAAAAACGCAGATCCTTTTTTTAAGAATTTTACTTTCCTTGTGAATGCAGTAAAGTGCACAAGTATAGTCTAGTTGTAAGATTAAAACTTTAGTAGTGAAGAAGATATGGATAAATATCAATTAAAGTGGAGGCGTAACATCTTTTTTTAAGCATATTTACTTATCTTGTTCATAAGGTAAATATGAATGAACAAATGTTATCATAAAGGTTATTCAGAAGTACACAAACATTAGTGCACCGAGCGAGTCGTTCAATATATATTTATACTCGCTTTGCAAGACCATATTTATCATATTACACGATGGCATCCCAAACTACTCTTCAAAAGAAACTTGCGGAGCTTCAAGAACCAAAGCAAACGCACCAAAACTCACGCCCCAAGATCCAAAAGGTTGCCGAGTATCTCCGAAATAGAGAACATTTTGAGAAGCAATACTCACCCAAGTTTGTGTCAATAGGTCCCATCCATCATGACAGTCCAAATCTCAAGTTAGGAGAGAACTATAAGCTTACCTGGGCAGCAAAATACATCCAAACCACCCAACAAGATCCAGAATTTCTACACAAAAAGATTGCCGATAACATTTTCGAACTCAAGAGTCGTTTTGCGGACGATGTTTTAGCTTTAGCCAATATAGCGGAATCTCTAAAAGACTTCCGCGGCCTTGAAGAAAAGCTGGCATGGCTTTTGTTCGCGGATGGTTGTTCTTTGCTGTATATTTTGATAAATGTGAAGCTTTATCAACTTGATAAACCAAAAGATAGGATTACTAACCTTGGCCAAATTGATGGTGTGAATATTAATGTTGATGATGATCCGGAACATCTGAATATGAAGGTTGATCAACTTGTTCTTGTGATGATGGACGTGCTTTTGTTGGAGAATCAGCTTCCTTATAAAGTATTGAAGCTGTTGTGGAAAAATGAGAACGATAAAGAATTGATAGATACTATGAAGAATTTTCTCAAAAATTATCATTGGGCCACGCAGGATAAGAAGACGACCTGGAGCAGGCCAGGCATTTTCTCTAATACTGGTCAAATAAAAAAGACAAAAGCAGAAGATGATTTACCGAATGATATCATTGAGACACCAACTCATCTTCTTGATCTTCAGCGTAAAATGATCCTTCTCACAAAATCTAATTCCAAGGTAAAAATTTTGTCTTGTTATTTTATTATATATCATACATAAGTAAGATGATGAAATCCATTTGTTATGTATTTAGACGGAAGCCAATAAGGAAGCTAACTACGAGATGAAACAAAGTGGAAAATATTCGGAAGAAATGATGACATACAGGAACATACAAGATCTAACAGCAGTAGGAATAAAACTCAAATCAAGCAGAACACGAAGTCCAACAGACGTAGATTTCTCGGAGGATTGGTTTGCTGCGAAACTGACTCTTCCTGAGATTGTTGTGGACGATAACACAGCTGCTTCTTTCCTGAATCTGATAGCGTATGAGATGTGTCCAGATTTTAAGAACGACTACGGAATATGTTCATTTGCGGTTTTCATGGATTCTCTCATTGATCATCCTGAAGATGTGAAGAAATTGAGATCAAAAGGTATTTTGGTGAATTCACTTGGGAGTGATGAGGAGGTTGCTAATCTTTTCAACATCATAAGTACTGACTTGGTACTTAACCCAGAAACATATCTTAAAGTTAAAGCTAAAATACACGAGCATTACCGTAATAAATGCAATATTTGGATAACGGAGGGTTGTAACACTTATTTCAGCAATCCTTGGGCTATCACTGGTTTCATTGCTGCGGTTATTGCACTTGTTCTCACTTTCGTTCAAACATGGTTTTCCATTTTCCCATCTCATAATTAAACATGGTTTGCTGTGGAGTTCTCTTCTTGTCACGAAACTACTCTACTTCACTTCTCAAAGGATTTCTGTTGAACTTTTTTTTTATCACTTGTTGAGTCTTCACTATGAGTATCTCATAAATAAAGAGTGCCTTTTGCTTTGTGTGTGATTGTTTTTGTTTTTTTAAGAGGTGTGTGGTTGAATAGAAACATGTAATTTTCATAATTTAAGTTTCTTTATTCAAATTATTGTTTTGATTGATGATTCAGGTGTTTTTATATTGTTGTGATTATTTAATTATGTATTTACTAGCGTCCTGACGAGCACGCGCATAAAAGTATATAAACGATATTTATTGTTAAAATAATTTTTAAAAAAAATACAATATTTGAAAGTTAATAATAAGAAGAAGTTAATAATAGGAAGTTATTAAAGTAAATTATACAGTAAAATAACCGTAAAAATAATATAAAAATAGGCAACACCAAAACATCATATTTTCTCTTTATATATATGTTTTAGATATATACATTAATAAGTGAATAGACCAAATATGCTAATAAGTGCAGCGGCTCAATTTTGGAAAATTCTAAGTGTAGCAGTTCATTTTCGAAAATTTTTAAGGTAAAGTCAAGCATATATATATATATATATATATATATATATATATATATATATATATATATATATATATATATATATATATATATATATATATATATATATTAATACTAAAGTCAAGCATATATATATATATATATATATATATATATATATATATATATATATATATATATATTAATACTATGGTACCCTTAGATTTAGTTAGATACCGGTACCCTCATCTAATTAAACAATAACATTTAATGACATGTCACTTTTTATATATATTTTATTTAAAAATAAATTAATTTTTTAAATGAATTTTCACTAAAAATACAACTATCTAACTATTTATCATGGGTACTTAAGAATTTGCCAATTTTTTAAAGTGAAATCATTTATCGGGCCAATAAGAAAGTAATGTTGACTTAGTATGTGCCACATAGAATTATATGGTAGATATCACTTATTATATATTCTCATATCTATTAATATTGCAATTAAGTCCCGAACATATTAAAAGTGATAAGATTACCCCAATTTTTATAATTTTTATATTGTTTTTAAATTTTTAGTTAGTGTGAAAATTAGTTATTAAAACAACTCATTGGCATTTCATCCCAACACTGCATACGAACATCAACATTATATTCATCTTCATCTTGCTCATTTCACTTGAAACCCTAATTTCATGTTCGTCTGCCATTGTTGATCAAACTAAATTTATTCATCGTGCTCAATTGTTATCATATTCATCGTGTTCGTCCACTCATCAAACATAACACCAACAAAAATCTACATTCGGGGAGGAAATTGAAAAGGAAAAAAGAAAAGCAGTTCGATGTGTTCGTATTAAGAACGTAGTTGCCAAGGTAAATACAAAAATGTTTGTTATATTTAATTGAAATTAATTATTAAGATTTACTGATTTCGAATTAAGTTTAAATGGGGTGTTAAATTTGATTTTAATTTGGGAATTAGGATTTATGCCTTAATTTGTTTTCTGCATATGAGTTTCAAATTTAATGATTTTGATTTTTAATTTTGTTAGTTTAAATTTCGAATATAATATTGAGGGTGTTAAATTTGATTTCAATATATGAATTAAGGTTTATACTTGAAATTGTGTTCAATATGTTAATTAGGGATTATGCTTGAATTTTTTTTTCTGTATATGGGTTTCGAAGTTGATGATTTCAAATTTTCAATTTTTTTAGTTACCTTCAACTTATTAAGAAATTATGTATTGTGATTGATGTTGAGTTTTGTTGTGTTAAAAATTATGTTAATTCAGGTTTACTCTAGAAAACTACGAGATTTTGATTCCAATGACGTCCATTCCACTGATGTTGATACATCTAAAGTTGAATTGAATGATGTTGAGGATGATAGTTATTTGGTATCTAGTGGGTATCAAAGTTCAGATGATGGCGATGATGTTGATAATATTAACAATGATAATTTGGTTCAAGAAGATGCAGTTGTAAGGGATAGATTGGTGAGTATTAATTCCATTACTTCTGATGAAATTCGTGCTTTGGTATTTTGTATTGTTGATGAAGTTTATAAATTTTATTATCGATGTGGTAAATGTAATAGCTTTGCCATTAGGAAAAGTGATGTTAGGATAAAAGGTCCCGAAGGTAGTAAAATAACAGTACTTGGGCAGTTTGTATGCAATAAACATGGTTTAAGAAAGAAGAAACACTTATGTAGGGTACATAAGAAAAGAGATCACATACGTTTGACCCGTACTAAATGTGTAGCTAGGCTTAATGTGCACTACAAAGCCAAAAAGGATAGATATGTAGTGTCAATTTTTGAAGAGGGTCATAACCATTAATTAACCCCATCCAAGTTTTTGTGCACTTACACCCCATTTATTGTCAAATTTCAAAAGCAGATAGAGCTCACATTGATGATCTTCAGTCACATGAAATTAGAACTTATCATATAATGGGGTACATGGTTACTCAGAAGGGTGGATATACTGATGTTGGGTTTGCAAAGAAGGACCTGTTTAATTGTTTTGATAAAAATGTGTGCTACTATTAAAGATGGTGATGTTGCTGCTTCATTAAATTATCTAAAATTAAATTCATCTACGGATCCTATGTTATATGCCGAATATGTTATCGACAGTGATGGATGAATGAAGTTTCTTTTTTGGGCTGATGGGAGTAGCAGATTTGACTATTGGCGGTGTGGTTACGTTCGACACAAATTACAAGAACAAATGCAACTACTCATTGGTTATATTTTCATGGGGTAACCACCACTCTCAGAAAATTATTTTTGGTGTTGCATTGGTATCAGATGAAACCACAGACGTATAAGTGGTTGTTGAGGTGTTTTTTAGAGTGCATGTAAGATATATACCGAAAAGCAGTTGTAATAGATGGAGATGAGGCTATGAGGGAGGCTATAAAATAACTTTTTGCCGATGCAATCCATCGCTTATGTGTTTGGCATTTGAATAAGAATGTAGGTGAAAATGTAAAGAAGTCACAATTTTTGAAAGGTTTTAAAAAAGTCATGTACTCAAATTTTACAAAGGATAAATTTGAAGAGTTTTAGTCAGAGCTAATTAAAGAAAAATGAACTTAAAGGAAATCATTGGGTTGCCAAAACGTATAAGAACAAGTCATTATGGGCAAATGCATATCTACGTGATAAGTTTTTTGGATGTATAAGAACTACGTCTCAATATGAAGTGTTAATGCAATAACAAAGACATATGTACGGACGAAAGACTGGATTTTTTAATTTATGCATAATTTTAAGCAGGCTTTGAGAGAGTATAGAAACAATGAACTGGTTGTTGATTTTAAATCAAAGTTTTCTGAACCTGTGTTGACAAATCACCTGTGATTGATTGAGAGCGATGTCGCTAAAACTTATATGGCAGAGATTTTCAAAGAAGTTAAAGATGAAAATATGAAGGCTGGTGTATTGAATGTTAAGAACCTATTTGTTCGCGGGGATACAAAGATGTATACATTAGCAAAATATTGTCAGGACAAACATGAAAGAGAAGTTGTTTATGATGGTTTAACATTTTAGTATTCGTGTAAGTTATTTGATTCTCGTGGGCTTCCATGTTCTCATATGTTTTATGTCATGAAGAAAGAACATATTGATCACATTCCTAGAAGTTTGGTTTTGTTGCGCTGTGTTGCGGTGAAATTTGGATGTCAAGCTATTGATTAACTTGAATCTTAATTCATTTACAACCGGTCTTTGATTTATCCGAAGGAAAGGTTAAAGAAAGGAAAAACCTAAAAGGGAGAGATCTAAGGTTCGGGGGTTGGTTAAATTTAGGGAAGGTATTAGCACCCTAAACTTCCGTAGTACTCTACGGGAACCTTTTGTTTATTTTTATTTATTTATTTCATTAATTATTTTGTTTTAGGGTATATACAAAGGATTGAAAATTAAAAAAGACCTAGGGGTTAATTCTAAGTTTACTCGGCAAGACATCGCATCTTGTGCCTACATATCCTTACGGGAATGGAATCAGAGTAACTGTAGTTCCCCTTTTTCAACAAGGCAACACATGTATATATAGGGAACAAATTAGGGTTAACACCAAATTGTCAATAATGTCCCTAAAGCCCATTTTAAAGCCCAAACTAAATAATTAGTTAAGAAAAAAATAAAATTTAAATAATTTAAAATAATTAAAATAAACTTAAAATAAAAACTAATAATCCTATTGATTCCTAAAATCAAAAATATTATAAAAAGAACAAAAAAATTTTTCAATATTTTTTATTTTATGATTTTTTTGGATATTTTTATGAATAATTTAGAAAAAAGTGAAAAAAATCATATTTTAAAAAAATGATTTAATTAAAATACGAAAATAATAATTAAATAATAATAAAAAACTATTTTTGTTATTTTTTTAATGAAAGATAGAAAAATTTAGAGTAAAAATAATAAAAAACAAAAAAGTGACAATGTAAAGAAGTCACAATTTTTGAAAGGTTTTAAAAAAGTCATGTACTCAAATTTTACAAAGGATAAATTTGAAGAGTCACTACAAGAAAAACAATGGATTGCGACGGTTATTTTGGTAGGTTACGACGGTTAAAACCACCACCAATTACATTCTACGACGGTTGTAGTACCGTCGCAGAAACGTGTGTCCCCAGGCTGTTTAGCGACGGTTGAAAAAACCGTCACACACAACCGTCGTTATATTTCACGACGGGCTTGAACTGACCTAAACTGGAGATAGCGACGGTTAAAGACCGTCGTTACTAGCCTTTTGATTTTTATTTTCATTGTTGATTGTGACGGTTTAAAACTGTCGTGAACTCTATTTCACGACTGGTTGGAACTGACATAAATTGGAAATGACAACAGTTAAATACTGTCGTGAATATCCTTTTGATTTTTGTTACCATTGTTGA